CTAAAAAATCGATCCCCTCAGATCTCCCATAAAAAATGCTTTAAGAAACTGTAAGATTAGTTTCTAAAACCAAAATCGTTATAATTTGAATAAACCTGGGAATGTGTTATCAGCCTACAGTGGAGCAAAACTTTTGAAAGCCACTTTATCACTTTTATCCAGCCAGGAGCTTTGGTGAACCATACAGACTTGTTTAGTACCCGGGAGACTCCTGGATAATCCAGGAGAGTTGGTACGTATGTCATTCCACAGACATACAATAGAACCTTTTTAATAGGGCATTAATTTTAGTTAATGAAAACTACTTGATGACAGCAAATGCTGATGGCAACTAATTCTGTCATCACCATGTCCCCACCAATAGTATAGCTCCACTTTCAATTCTGCATATAAACTCACACACAACCCACAAATCCTCCACTCGCTCTGACAAAGGGCTAACACTCGAAAATTCAGCTTTTTAACTCATTCCAGTGGCCAAATTACAATTTCAACTTAGTTGAAATAACCAAATTACTTAATGATGACCAAGTGGGTTTTGCCTTCTACCAAAACAAAGTTGGAAGATTTTGAGCTGAATTGGATCTTTTTACCAAACGGCATCGTTTTTTGCCGTTTTTTTCTCAGGTGGTAGTTACCAGCATAATTTCAAAAAACTAAAAACTACAGCAAACGAAGGAAGATCCCCCTCCCACGAAAGCTTTCTCATGATAGCTGCCGCACTAACGCCGTGACACCGCTTGTTTCAGTCATGTGACCTAGTTTCCATGGCGCCAATCCCGGTAACCCATGGGCAAACAAAATTTGGCGAGGAGAAAGTATCGTGAAATGAAACTTTTACTTAAAAAGTCGGTCTCTAATGATAGCAATCCTAAATGATTGGAGATTCACCACAAAAGAATGAATGTCTTAACCTATTAGTAGAGGGTTTCTTATCCTCGGCTAGATCAAGTGACACATAAATAAAGCTTTTCTTTCATTCATTCACTCACAGTCACATTCGTTTACATAGGCAAATCAAAAACATAATTTTCTAACTCTTTACTCAAATATAACTTGCAATTTTCAGGACGACTGTGGCAGCTACCTCTCAATAAAATGCTGGTAAATTTAGTATACAAGTCAAATGACGCACAAATCAAGCGTGGCCTTTTCTTTGATGTATAGTCTTTGGTTCAGAAGTTTTCGTTCCTGACATTTCAATACACTACGTACGACATCATAATAAACGTCGCGTACGCGTGTTTACGTCAAACCCCACACAACAAACTGACTCAAAAGACGTGCTAAGCTACAAATACGTGAGTTGTGTCTAGAATATGACATTCTTCAATGATCTGCCGAGCGAGTTTTTTTCAAATGTTTCCGAGGAAAATCAACAATGCTTCCGTCCGAAACACTCATTTGAAAGGGTTTCTAAAGAGCGAAATTCTTGCAAGTGGAAGGTTTACGCATGGAAATGTAGACCTAAGTAATTTCATACTTGTTTGAAATATGTATTTCTCACCTTTGGAAGCTGAGCTTTAGATCGACCGCCTCTTTAACTCAATCTTGACGCAAAAGCGAGAAAATGCACTTCGAAAGCCCGCTGGGGGTTCGAATTAATCGCTCACGTGGTCAGCCATTTAGAGCGGAAATAAAAAATTCATCACTTTTGTTATTAGAGAGCTTTAGATTCGAGTGCGAGAACGAGTACGAGTACGAGTTTTAACCGCGCGAGATCTGGCACCAGTACCTCGTACTCGTAGTCGTGCTGACGAAAATTGTAACTTTAGATTCTAAACAAATGTATCGATCGGAGTGCGAGGGTTTTACTGTAACAATCTCGCCATGTTTAGCCAAAAAAACTATCCTATTAGCGTCCGTTTACCTCCTTTGCGATTTATGAAATCACAACGATGGGAGGCAACATCCTTACAAGC